ACCTGCTGCCAATAGGATCCTTAAATATCAAAGTATTCATCGTGGGGACATTGCCATTAATAAACATGAACGAGAGTCTCACAACAATCCCTAAAAAATACGGTCACTAACCAAAAAAATACTCCCTCAGTCCTGTAACACAGTGGATTCTAGAGATTGTAAGATAACTTAAGAAAGAACACAAAAGTCACACATGTACACTTTGTTTGTAAAAGAATACATTCATCCGCGTGATTAGGACGAGGTACCTACCAAATGTGTATATCTATTTTACAAATCCTATATACTATAATGCACTACTATATCACAGCACATAGGGAGTATGTCCAACCTATACCTATAACTAACTAATCTACCTTCCCGATTTGGTCAAAAGAATCAAGAAACAAATCTATGGGATGGTAGTGAAATCTAATCCCACTAATAAATACGAACTACAAGCAAAGTCGAGCAAGACTTCAATGGCACATGACGCATAGTGCAGGCAGGAGGTTAGTACAGATCATAGATGCCTACATCTTCATGCTCTTTGAGATTATTTTCTCAAGTAATAAACAATTATAATAAGGCTTTAATATTGATATCATCAAGCAATGCTACTCCTCGTAGATCTCACATCAAGCTCTACCACTAATGTTAAGTGACATAGTGTAGGCTTAAAATTATTACCTATGTCATCATGATACTTAAGAGTAAATATTAAAGATTTTAACCCGTGCGACAACACGGATTTATGAACTAGTGTTGGATAATTCGGATATCCATTTTTATTTTTTATCCCTAGTCCTTGGAGACTAGTGTTGACCTACTAGCTAGGGAGCTTGCCTTACAGCCTTAGGACACTAGGACAAGCATCGGCCGATGCTATTTAACGTGGCATGTCGTGTCGCTCGATCGACGTGCCAGGAATAGCCAAGCACACCCAGTAATACCGAGTGGGACCAGCATGGGCACGATGGCAACCAGGGTGTCATGTTTGGACCGAGTTAAAAACACGGGTTTCAGCCCGAGCTAACGACCTCAGACCTTTTGTACAACTGGAGCGTCTATAAATATGGCATTTTGTACAACTGTAAGGGCCTTTTGTATAACTTCTTATATAGTATTTTTTAACTCACTCTTTAAATCATTATTCATTAATTAAAAAAATCCAGTCTCAATATTTTTTACCTTTTTAATATTTTTCCTATATCTTGTACCACCTCGCTCTACTTCTTTGACTAGCAAAAAAGATTAGAATATAGGATGTTAATATTTAGAGATTTAATTAAAGAAGTTGTTGAAGAATTTTTTTTAAAGTACCTATTTCTATCGATTATGATGGATATAAATATAATAATGAGGCTTTGGAGGCAGTTGGAAGTCAGGCCACTCACTCACTCCTATGCCAGAACAAAGGTTTTAAACCGATGATCCTCGGGTGTGTTTGGTTCCATGGATATCCATGGATGGGACATGGATATCCATGGATACAGGATGTTTGGTTGGATGGACAAGCTAAACTTGGATATCCATAACAGGAAATATTTTGGGTAGATGTTGGATATCCTGTCCCTCAAAAATCTAGCGGATGAGGATATCGACATGTTGATTAGCGTATGTTTTGTGTGATAATTAGAGTAGTATAGTCTAATTAACATATTTTATTTTTAATTAGTGATTATAATGATAAGATTAGTGTCACTGCATATTATTATGGTATAATTAGTTGTTATTATTTTTAAATAATAGATATAATTAGTCAAGTATTCTCATCCCATGCAATCTCATCCATCCAACCAAAAAAATGGCTCGCCCCATCCATCCAACCAAATAGACAACATGGATATCAATATCCCAAAATCCATGGATGGCCATATCCCATCCACCTTGTCCTCAAATCAAACACACCTTGGCCAATCAGAAGCCCTGCTTTCATGGGATCCAATGCCGTCCGACAATAGGGTCGGTTGTCGGACTAAAATACGCGAGTTTCACCAAATGTGCGTGGTCCGAAGAATCGTCTGTCGTTAGTCATCCGCATGTGCCCCCTCCGCTTTCGGCACGCGCATGTCGCACGGGGACCGCCTGCGCCCTCCCCATCTACTTCCGGTGTAAATTTCCCACGCCGCCCCGAACGTCACCATCGGGAAGAGGAGTAGGGGGTGGCGGATGCCCAGCCAGCGCTCGGAGGCCAGAGGAGAAGACACCGACGAGGGAGATGCAACACCCGATCTACTTTTAAAATATCGAGATGCAACACTTGCAACATAAATCTAAAGGCAGATGAAACACTAGAAACATGCTTCTGAAACACTTGCAAAAATAAAACACCTGGAAAAACACTTGAAAACCATTGCAAAACATACGCAATATCCAGATAAAATATTTACAACATATGTGTGAAACGTATGCAACATCCAGATAAAACACACTTGAAGCATACATTCAAAAACATAGATGAAACATTGGAAAGAGACTTTTGCAACATACGTTTACAACCATTGCAACATATACAACATCTCGATCTACTTTTGCAACATCAGCATGAAACAATTGCAACATACCTCTGAAACATATGAAACATAGCTTGCAACATGCGCTTTTAGTGCAAGCGCAATGTCACACCATGCTGCTTGGACGAATGGAGCTCGTCGTTGTGGAGCTCAACACCGGCGTGGAGCTCGATGCCACGGAATGCACGGAGTTCGCTGGTGCGGAGCTCGTCGGTGGCATGGACCTCAGCAATGGCTGCGGCGGGTGGATGGAGTGCAGCCGCGACGGGGAGGCATGAGTACGGGCGGGGGTGGCGCCGGCGAGCAGCGCAGGCAGAGATCCGTCCTTCAACTGCGAGCAGGGGCACACAACACAGAGCGGTGCGGGCTAGTGGATGAGGATGAGCCACGAGGTCCGGACAGGAAGTCATGCGAGCGACGCGGACGAGTGGATGAGGATGAGCCACGTCCTGACTGGAAATCGCAGGATGGACGTCCGAGCCATATCATTATCAATGTCCATTTACTGCCTAACAATTCGTTGGCATCACAGCACCCTACCTCTGTTTTCCCATTGTTAGGCGCCAAATACACCATACCTAAATACCTCCAGTTGGTTTACATGTTTTAGGTTGAAAATATAGTGCTTCAAATATTTTGCATTCAAAATTTCCTTTTAGACCCTATTTGAATCCTTAGAATTAAAATTCATTCTAATAATCATAATTTAGTCACATATTAATTAAGCTAATATAGTTATATGTGGAATATATTTGTATACTATTGCTGGCCATACAAGAAAGCTACTTATGTGTTGCATTTCTGTTGTAGGGGAGTGAGCCGAAGAGCGTGTTATAAGTTGCAGAGTATAAATATAGCATGATGATTTATAGAATTTCTATCTCTCGCCCTATGAATTTTATAGATATGCTCATATGTAAACTTTGAAAAGTTATGGAATGTCAAATTTCAAGCCAAATCGGCTAGTCCATTAAGTAGATTCTAATTCCTTCAAAATGAAAAGATCCGGCTTCTTATATTTTATTAAAAATGATTATAGCTAGGTCCTAGTACTCACTCTTAATTACTATAATGCCATAAAGAACTTCACTCTTAGGAGTATAAATAGTAATTTTAGCTTACACCAGAACACTTGAATTGTTGAATTTCCTCTATAGAAGAATCATATAATGGTCCCGTTCATTTCGCAGAAAAAAAATAAGCCGAAATACTGTTCCGGCTGATTTGTTGTGAGAGAAAAACACTGTTCTGACTAAAAAAACAAGCTGAAAAGTACGGATTATAAGAGAAGCGAAGAGGGCCATTGCTTCATAAAAAACTAAGGTAATAATGTCCTAGTTAGAAATTTATTATCACAGAGTACTAATATCATTTGAAATGAAATGTCAAGTCATCGGTAGGATTGAAATATATTTGTGACTCGTGGCGGGCTCATCTCGGCTCAGCTCGATTTAGGCCCCGTTCGCTTCGCTGAAAAAACAAGCCGAAACACTGTTTCGACTGATTTGTCGTGAGAGAAAAATATTGTTCCGGCTAAAAAAACAAAGTGAAAAAAATGAAATTATAAGAGAAGCGAACAGGGCCTTAGTTTTTTCACGAGCTGGCTGGAACTTCAACTCATTTATTTAACGAGCCAAATTGTGAGCCAGAACGAGCCCTGACGGATACCCAAATTGATGCTTGCATCAGGAAGCCATAAGCTCCAGTGTATGCAGAAGCGAACCGAGGGGAGAGAGAGAAACAGGGTGAAAAATCGATCTACACATTGGAGCAGTCGAACCGTGCTGAAAAAATCTTCAGTTCGACGCTTACAGACGGTTCGACGCGAGAGCAATTAAATACTATATAGTTTTCACGCATGCTGCCACGCAGAAGGAGGAGCAGCGCTCTGATCTGTATTTTGTTTATTGTTTCGTACGAGTTTCGCAGATAAAAAGCGAACTCCACTATATAGTTTTCACGCTTGCTGCCACGCAGAAGGAGGAGCAGTCTTCGGTTAGCTTGCATGCGAATTAAAATGTGCCTTCGTGGCCTGACAGCATGCGGCTCGGTTCGATGCGACACTGGCGATGCTCAACAACCTCCAAGCCAAAGCCAACCCTAGGAAGACACATGCTCCCCTCTCCCTCTGATCTCACATCCCGGCCGGTTCCAGACTAGACCACCGCTCCACGTCTCCACCTCCCTCCCAGTCCCAGTTCCTTCCCACGGACGTCTGGCCCGCGCGCTCCGCAGCCACAAGCGCAAAGGCAGCGCACAGCGCTGTGCCTCCTCGCAGTGCCCACCACCTGCCGTCCCCGTCCACCGGACCCGGGACGCGGACGGCTCGCGCGGTCTCGCCCGGCCCTTCCCTCGCCACCCATCTATAAATACCTGCCCGCCCGCTGCGGAGCTGAGAGCAGGCAGGCAGCGAGCACGCACCAGCAGCATCCTTCCTCGCAGTGACCCTGCTGCTTGCGTCTCCCAGCGGCCGATCCAGCTGATCAAGCTAAGCTTAGATCCATCATGGCGGCCTCCACCACGTCGAGGACCAACTCGCGGGTGAACTACTCGAACGAGATCCACGACCTCTCCACCGTGCAGAGCGGCTCCGCCGTCCCCACCTTGTTCTACCCGGACAAGTCCATCGCCGACATCTTCCCGCCGCACCTTGGGAAGAAGGTACGTAATAACTGATCGATGTGATGCGATGCTCCACCTGTCAGCGTCTGGCTAGCTACCTTGCGCTGAAGCAAGCTAGCTAGCTAGCTCGGCAACTAACCGACGACTGGCCGCCGTGTGGTAATAAACACGGACTGGTGATGGTCGATGTACAACGTACACTGACGACTCTCATCTTGCGCGTATGTACGTGCACACACAACCCGTACATATGGATGGCAGGTGATCTCGGAGGTGGTGGCGACGTTCCTGCTGGTGTTCGTGACCTGCGGGGCGGCGTCCATCTACGGCGAGGACAACAAGCGCATCTCGCAGCTGGGGCAGTCGGTGGTCGGCGGGCTCATCGTCACCGTCATGATCTACGCCACCGGCCACATCTCCGGCGCGCACATGAACCCCGCCGTCACGCTCTCCTTCGCATGCTTCCGGCATTTCCCCTGGATTCAGGTACATACCTTACCTTCTTATTAATATAATCGGCCGGTTTATTTAATTTGCCTGCTTTTTCTCTGCTCTCTTATTAGTTTCGTGTTCGTCCTGCAAACGGAAGTGCAGCTTTTGGCGTGTAGGCATCATGCATATTTCTTTTCGCGGCAGCTCTCTTTCAATTCGTTGGGTCCGCTATTTCCATCCATTTGTTAATATAGGAGTTCAGTAGGACTTAGTTGTCAACATGTTGTCATAGCCTTTGTGTTACTTGGCTAGCTAGCCATCGCAGGTTAGGAATTAGGATGTAGCTACGATATACCTTTTCCATGAACGCACAGAAGAGCTATGCATTTCATCAAAAAGGAAATAAATTAAATACTCAAGGCCAGCAGCATGGATTGGCTAGACAAACAAAAACTAGAAAGCATGAAAGAGGCTAGCGTACGAAAAACTAGAAAGGTAAACTATACCAACTAGCTCTATGACCTGAACTGGACATAAGATAGTTGAGACAGAAAGCTCTGCCAATAAATTACCGAGATGGTTTTTACATGAAGATCACATGGCAATTCCCACGGCATAGGTTTCTTTTTTAAAAAATAAAATAAAAATAAACGCTAGCTTCTGTATGTGCGAGTGCGTCCTATATACTACAAATAAACTACTTGAAGAAACTAACAGCAGCTCCCGCATACAGACACGGACAGATGGATTAGCTGCCAACTGGACACATGAAGCAGCCAATGATAAAAACAGCTCCCGTATTAATTAGTACAAGTTGAGAAGTACATCCAGTAAACAAGAGTGTTGCTTAAACAAGTGTAGTATACTTCGTGAACAGCTTATCTGTTCCGATTGCCGATTGGTATCAGACTTTCCTAGACTCGTTTAGATTGGGGCTAGGAATTAGTATTTGATATTGTAGCATTTTTGTTTGTATTTGACAATTATTGTCCAATCATGACCTAACTAGGCTCAAAAGATTCGTCTCGTAATTTACAATCAAGCTGTGTAATTAGTTATTTTTTTATCTATATTTAATACTTCATACATGTGCCTAAAAATTTGATGTGATGAAGAGAGAATGAAAAAACTTACAATCTAAACAAGGCCCTAGTCATGGTGTCAGCTAATGCATGGCAACCAGAGGGGGGTTGACATTCTCGCGGCTGTTTTATACTAGTACTTAGAAAGGTTGATCAGACGTAATTCATGCCATCAAGAACATGGTGGCCAGGATGGTGATGGTGGACTGATGGTACTTAGCTTGGCGAAGAACTGAATGAAGGTTGTTGGGTGCGTGCATGTGCAGCGTTGCCTTCGGCCACGAATCCGGCCGTGCACCGGCTGATCCTGCCGAGATAGAAAGACGACATGGCATGGGTCATGTTGGGAAGAATATAATCCGGCCGGGGCGATTGGAACGTACGGGGACCTCGCCCGCTGGGTGCCATGCTCTAAAGCCCAATCCGGGGAATTATTAGCGGCTCGCGTGGCATGCTTACAAAGTCCGCGCGCACCGGACCGTACCACGCACGCGTGCGTGCACGCGGCCAGCCAGGGCAGGTGTCGCCGAGACGAGCACCACAGCCTTTCCATCGTCGGAATATTCCGACGCGTGTCCAACCAAACGCAGCACATATGCATGCGCCTCCGCCTCCCTGCCCGGCTGGCCCGGGCGGCCGGCCTGATTCAACGGACGTGGTGCCCCCGTGCACCGACGATCGTGCCCATCACATCACATCGTAAACGAGCGGTTTATTTTGATTTTGGATGCATAATGGACGACGGCCTTGCTTGGCGAACGAATCGCGTCGCGTGCGGTACGTGTAGGTGTGTGCCGCTTTCAAGGTAAAGAAGAGCGAGCTCAAGGCGTGAGATTTTTGTTAATTTGCTTGTGATGTGTATGTATATTCGCATGCCCGCAGGTGCCGTTCTACTGGGCGGCGCAGTTCACAGGGGCGATGTGCGCGGCGTTTGTGCTCAAGGCGGTGCTCCACCCCATCGCCGTCATCGGCACCACCACGCCGTCGGGCCCGCACTGGCACGCGCTCGTCATCGAGATCATCGTCACCTTCAACATGATGTTCGTCACCTGCGCCGTCGCCACGGACTCCAGGGCGGTGAGTAGAGTACCCGGCCTGTTGCTTGCCTGCACTGCTGCTCCTGCTCCTGCTGCTGCTGCCTCTCCTCCGCTCTAGCTCCCCTGCTGATCGGTCTCTGTTCATCGATTGCCCTGACGACGTGCTTGGTTGCTTTGTTTGGCTGCAGGTGGGTGAGTTGGCCGGGTTAGCAGTCGGTTCCGCGGTTTGCATTACGTCCATCTTCGCAGGGTAATATGAACGAAAACGAGTCACACAGATGACAAAATGCTCAATAACACTTACCTTATTAGTACTATTAGCAAGGACATGACTGACTGTAGCTAGTACTCTCGCGAGGAATTAAAACATGGTAGACTTTCGACGAAGGCTAGCTAGTAAGCCAGTAGCAGTAGTGACACTGAAGAAATCGCCTGCATGCCTAGCACTAGCAGGTTCTCGATCGGTAGCAAGCGAGGAGGCGACTTTCCAAGCTGATGACGTTCTTTGCTACGTACCGATCGAGCCGCCATTTTTTTTCCGCTTCTTTAAAGATTTCGGATCACCTTGATGTAGTGTAGTACTCCTACAAGCTGACACTGGTTGCGACAGGTCGTGACCATGCACCAAATGCAAGCCTCGGCGGCTGAAGCTGAACTGAAATTACCCTGTCATCAGCTCATGTCATAATCGCTTTCTTTAGGCACTAGTACAGTACTTCTAGCTAGCTTATCGTGCTCTACAGTCTACATAATAACTAGTACATATACGACATTACAAAAGCCTGCCTTCACTGACTTATTTATGCAAAACGACGATTTTTTTGGGCCGTCTGACTTGACAACTATATCCATAAAATCTTCTGACCCTAGTAAGGCCATGTTTAGTTGACGATTTTTTTTAAAAAATGGTACTGTAGCATTTTATTGTTATTTAATAATTAGTGTCTAATCATAGTTTAATTAAGCTTAAAAGATTCGTCTCGTAAATTTTGTCTAAACTATGTAATTAGTTTTATTTTTTATTTATATTTAATGCTTCATTCATGTGTCCAAAGATTCAATGTGGCGGAAAATCTTGAAAATTTTTACAAAATTTTAGGAACTAAATAGGCACTAAATAGAGTAGACGTAAGAACCCACGAGGAAACTGCAGCACACACTGCGCCATCACTGACACACATATATACATTTAAGCTAAGACGCGGGGGAAACGAGTGGCATTTGCAGGCCAGTGTCCGGCGGATCGATGAACCCGGCGAGGACGCTCGCGCCGGCGGTGGCCAGCAACGTCTTCACGGGACTCTGGATCTACTTTCTGGGCCCCGTCATCGGCACGCTCTCTGGAGCCTGGGTCTACACCTACATCCGCTTCGAGGAGGACCCCGCTGCCAAGGACACACAGAGGCTCTCCTCCTTCAAGCTCCGCCGCCTGCAGAGCCAGTCCGCGCTCGCCGCCGACGAGTTCGACACCGTCTGACGGCCGGCCGGGGACGGACCATCAGGTGCATCCACACCTCACCGTGCGTCGTCCATGCATGCATATGTGCGCACGCACGCTGTGTGAGAGTACTGTGTGCTGTACGTAGCAGCGGATCGGAGCAGTGTGATGTTTACTATGTATCTTCGGCTTTGTATTGCATCATCAGAGTTTGCAAAGGCTAATTGATGCAGCTGATGCCTGATTATCGTGGCTTTGCTGGTTTGCAAAAGATGCATGCATGTGTTGGAACAAATATATGGATTTATGTTTCTGTCTACTGTACTTTATGTCTTTATATGTTCCTTTTTGTTTGAATTTATTTTACTATACCTTTTTTTCAAAAAAAAATCATATATCTGTGGATGGCATTCCAGAATTTTTTTTAATCAGGGAAGTTTGTTGATATTGCAGAGACACAGACACTGCAAGATATCGCACTCATATGTGATATGTCAACTATTCCTTCTGTTCCAAATTGTTATTTTGACTTTGATTTGAGCAATTTAATTAAAAATAGATTAACATCTATACGGTACTAAATAAATACTATATCTATAATGACGGTTTTAATTAACTAAAATAATTTGATAGATGTTAGTTTATTCTATTTATAAAAAACTAAAACGATATATAATTTGAAATATAGAGAAACAATGCATGATAGATGCTTGCCTCATGAACTCGTGGCTGTGCGATGTGTGATAGCCCATTTCGCGTCAGCGACACGCGACGCAGTGGCCACGCGTCATCTGGCCATTCACTTGGTAGCACCAAAGACTTTCTATGAGCGCCAATACTCCCGCGGATATAGATTTGTATATAGGCGCAGTCGCGCAGAGAAAGTGCACATGGATGGATGGATGCACTGTGCAATTGGCCACACGATTGCAATTAATCAAACACTCTTCTCTTCTGAAATATGATTTTACTCAACCTATGTTTCCTCGTTCAGATATATGTGTCCTTAGCAGGCAACCTTATTAAGTCCCAACCGTAGCCCTGGCCCGCCAACAAAGCGAGGTTACTATGCCAAGCTTGGGGGCAATTTTTTTCTTGAAAAATGTAGGATGACTACGTTGCTTTGTATTAAGATATAGTTTAATGATTGATTACAAGAAGCGCAATTAGCGCACTCGCAAATAAGCTCTCCCTAAGTGCTTGGCCCCTGGTTAATTGCTCCCTTAGATGCGCTCTTTATGCTTTGATTCTATCCAACACCTACCACAAGGATGATGCATCATTAAGAAACAACTGTGCATTCCTCTCCTTCCACAGTTGCTATGCGACGGGAGCAAAATAGTGTAAGCCTAACCATAGACCTAACCTGGCTTGGACAAATCCTGAGGATTTACGATTCTTGGCTGTTACAGCTAGCCAGAACTATTATTAGACAAGTCTCAGTGAGGGTTTTATGAATATTAAATAAGCTGACATGACATAGTATAAATGAAGAGAGAGATGATAAAAGTTTCATAGGGTGAAACTTGTCTACATTGTTTCCAACCTCTGAGAGTCTTAGAAACTGGGATATGAATTCGTCCCGGCCTTAGCTCTATTCCAAAGATGCAAAATAAGCTTGAATCAGCTCATGGGCATCCTATGTTTTTTTAATGGAACAGGAGGGGCCGGGTAGTGTCGTCCCTAGGTTTAAAAACCAAGGAGAATACATACAAAACAGAAAAGAAGAAGGGCAAGCAAGATGGATCAGCTCATCAGGGTTCTGTTCTCAAGTTGACCAGCGCCGATGACAGCATGCTAAGTTGTTATGCCAACACAGGATAGGACCACCTGAAGAAGCTAGCAGCTAAGGCCGTGCACTTGGCTGCACAGGGATCGCCAGGAAATCTTCCCTCCACTGATGCCGCCTGGGGACCCGACTCGCGGCACACCTGCCTGCGCCATGCGTCACCACTCGTGTCCCCGGGCGGCAAGGAATGCGCAGCGACGTCACGGGGCCGGCCGGGGCGCGTGCCAAGGTGCCGCCTCGGGAGCCCTCGCTCTCGCATCCCCACGCCGCCGCCGCCGCGAACGACCGGGGTGCGCACGCCGGTTGACATGGCAGCATCACCGGTTACATCTATCGATCCATTCATCCATGATCCTTCGGCCGGGTCCATGTAGATCACGCCGGCCCCGAGATTCGTGCGACGATGGCTCAGTGATGATGAGTCCATTTCCTTGTTTCCTTTCAGATCGTCAAAGCTACTAGCCCGGCCACTAAGCCACAGCGAAACACATGCGCCGCGCGCCATATGTAGGCAGGCACAGCCGACGCCCAAGCCGAGACGATTATGAGGCCTGACCACACATAGCTGCACATTTCCAATCCAAAAAAGAAAATGAAAGGACGGATTGATGGACGTGCACACAAATGGAGATCGTAGGACATGCCCTGTCCAGCAAAGCCTGCCACCAGTAGTCGTATTGATCCTCAGATTTCGTCGAGTCGCCCTCAGATTTTCAGGTCAGTGCTGCAGCAAGGACTGGGGAAAGCAGCTAGGGCACCACCACCACCACCACCACCATGCGGGCCTCTCGATCGTCCCTCGTGTGACAAACGGATCAAACGCCAACAGTTGCTGTGATAACGAGATCGTGTATATCAACGGGGTAGGGTAGGGTAGCGTGTGTGTACGAATGCAGCAGTGTCCACGTTGTTGTCGTTGTTGGTTTTGTGTGTGTGGAGATGGCAATGTACATAATGCTAGCCAAGTATACTTTGGAAAAATTAGGAGTGCTTCTGATCCTGATCGATCTCCTCGTAGTGCTTGTACATGTGGTTGTGGTCGTGTTTGTGATTGTTGTGTAAAGAATGTATTCTCGATCAACCACGTATGCGTTTACTTTTCCATTTTCCGGGTGTTTCAGACTAGCGGAAGATGCCGCATGTGCGGTCAGAATATACAGGTGACGTTGCCATATATAGAGGCATATATACCTGTGCCATGGTGTCGGTGAACTCTTGAAATGCGGCATTATGTATATTCCCAACGTGGCTAATAAGTAATAACTAGAAAATGTACCCGTGCGTTGCAACGGGAGAAAACAAAATTAAATTTTTATAAAAAAACGAGAACCGAATGATACATAGCTATTTATGTTTTACTCTTTTTATAAAATTTTAGAGCTATAGTTTATTTTATGATGACTATGACATTTATAATATAAGCTAATACTATATCATTTTAATTTTAAACTATCCATGCATCTTCTTTTGTGGATATATAAAAATTGTAATTCCAATATCTGATTAAAGCTGGCAAGAAGTTGATTGGAGAAATATCTATTATTATGATGGGAGACCACTCTCGGTTTTTCATATAGTAGTCCTCGTTGGAGATTTACATTAGTACATGCACGCAATTTTAAGATACATTTATTTAGACTATTGTAGTTCACGATTTGATTAGTTAGATCATTGATTGAATCAGACTATATAATAAGATAATTTTTGTTTCAAATGAAAAGTGCATTAATAACTTTAGTAATGTAAATCTCTATTTTCTAAGGAGATCAAGGTTCAACTGCTCATAATATTATTATATCTATTGTTTTTTAATATTTATATGTGAAAAAGAAAAAAAGAAAAAAAATTCAAACGGAAGTTAAGAACAGATCGGATCCAATAGAATACAAAAAAAAAAGACCGTGAAAAAATACGTAACTAATCCCTCGTACGGGAGGAAGAAAAAAAAAGACAAATACAAAGAAACTTTTCTACGCTAATAGATTGGTCTGATGGCTTTGTTGCAGTTTTGAACGTTTGATTCGTTGAGTAATTTAATTCTTTAAATGATGTGCAGCGGCTTATATATTTAATTCTTATGGTTAGTCCTATCTACGGTTCAGAGACGAGGAGCATCTGGAACCGGTGCAAATCGATATTTGTTATCGTGACGACGGGCCAAACTCATTGGATTTGTTTCGATTTGGTCCGGTGGTTTCGATTTAGTTTTTGCTTAGTTCATATACTCTCGTTTTGATATCGATTGGTACTCGATTTAGAAAATCTTTCCTGTGTCGGTCTCCAACTCTTCATCTAGCGCCCCTGTATGACCACCTAGATAGATAAGAAAATGTGACCGACGGACAAGAAATTGAGGGTATTTTGGCAATATAAATTAGGATTGAGAGTGATATTTGATTAGATTCCTATAGCTATCTATAGATTAGTTCAAACCTGTGTCCAAGCCGTATCTACATTACGGAGTTAGGGGATACTATTCCTATTCAAGTTACCAAGCATCGAACTATTTGTATTAGGAAGGTGGACCAAAAAAAATTGGCTGGACATATTATGTTATGAGAAGTAAAAAAGCCGGGTTGAAAGACACACTTTTCTGTATAGAAAGTAAAATAAGATTTTATTTAATTTATTTTCTATATAGAAAGTAAAATAAGATTTTGTCTAATTTATTTTCTATTTGAATTAAGATTCCTATTCTATTCAGTTTATTCAGGCTTAGAGAGATCTATTTGTCTTAACTATTTAGGGTCATATAAGTTTAGATGAAAGAAACTCTCGACTACCGGTAGTTAGGGGAAGATGGACGAAAAAATAGATGGACGAAAAAAAATGGCTAGAAAGTTTGACTCTTTATTATTAGATATAGATATAGACATGATGATCATGTAGACGACGTTTACAGCCTGTTCGCTTGTTGGTTTCAGCCAGCCCAAACCAGCCAGCCAACAGTGTTTTCCTCTAAAAAACCAAAGCACCAACCAGCCCAAACCAGCACCAGCACCAACCAGCGAACAGGCCCTTAGATGGAACCCTAGCTAGGTAACTTTCGCCAAACAGTAGATCTGATCCCAATCAGTCAAAATCTAATGCCTGAGAATGCTTTGAAATGCGGGTCATGTTTGCCTGGTGTCAAACCAAGGCCTATAATAGGTTTAAAAAAAGGGCCTATAATAGACTGTGAAAACATCTATGGCTCTATCTTAGAACCAGTTCCTCTAAAGTTGCCCCGCTGCAGTTGAGTTAGTGACAG